GAGTGTCAGTTACTCGGGGTCACACCAAGCCCACACACATCCCTAATTACAGCCAATATTCTGTAACTGCATAGACAAGCTACAATGAAGAGAGAGGTTTGTAGATGTGACGCATCCTCCAGGTGTCTGTGATGAGTTTAGATGCAGTGCTGGGATCACATTATTCCACCTGTATCCAGGAATACAGCATCATACAGGAACCATAGAAGTCATAGATAGATAGAAGAGTAGCATGGACTAGACCTGCACCACAGCGCCACCCAGTGCTCAGGAGACAGTATTACATCAGCATAAGCTGTATGTCCTCCAGGTGTGTGCAATGTATCACAGGTGCAATCATCAGCTGCACCTCTTCCAATCACCCCGCTCACCTGTATGAACTCACCTGTGCCGATTTATTAGTGGAGATTCGTTTTTTGGCTCCTCAGAACATGTGACGTGAAGTCCGGCTTCTCTTGTTTGGGACCCAGGAGTGACAACAGTAAAAACAGACACAGTAAATGTCCAGTTCCCTAAAAGACAAAACTAAGCCAACAATCCGGAGCCTCCGCTTGCTGGAGGAAGAGAGACAACGAACAATCAGAGCCGACACTTCCTGTATCACAGACCCACAGCGAGTCATGATTGGTATACATGCCAGGCAAGGAGCATTTCCTGGGGGGAGCTCAGCACTGGCGGCCCCGGCATTTCTCTCAGCTCAGCTATGAAATACAAACATTGTAAATGTAATAAAAACCTGCCGAAGGATCCGGAATGTTTCATTGTAAAATGACTCAAATCAGCCAATGAAAGAGGAATCGCATCAACTCCAAACTGCAACATTGTAACAGCGATGAGAGAACCCGGACTGACTCCGGAGCTGCTGCGTGTCTCAGGATCCGTGTTTCATGTTTTCCCCTCAGAGGGTGACAACAGCAGCAGACAAATCCCAAATAACCGGCCTGAGGAGGATCATCCCCCGTCCACTGACACCATTCACTCATTCCTTCATTCACTCATTCCTTCATTCACTGAGATCCATCTCAGGGTCAAAACCTTCAATTCCATCATTAGAGATGACAAACTTCTTATTTCTGCACCAAAAAGGGAAATCCAGATTGTAACATCTTCCCTCTGATTGTGATCTCTGCAGAATAATGTATAATATATATATATGTGATATTCATTCTCTATATAATAATATGCACTGTATATATGATATTTATATATTCATTATATATATATATATATATTGTATTATGTCTCACTATTTTGCAGTGTCAGCAGTGACGGGTTCATTCAATGAGAGTTTCATTTACTATGAGGAGGTCGGAAGAAATTCGGACTCCCCATTTCCTTTACACCTGCAAAGCCCAAACCTGTGATGCAATGGGCCACACCCACTTGAGGCCACACCCATCACCTGGAGGATCACTCCCTCTTTGACCATGCATATAATTATAACATTGTTTCTGCGCCATTTGGGCTATTTAAAGCTCACTCAGCGCTCGGTGGTCTTCAGCAGCTTCTGGGACCCGACCTGACTTTTCAGTGCAGCTTGTCACCCGACCCGGCTTAGACCTCCTGCTTTCCAGCTCCCTCGTCAACTCCTCCCATATTCGCCTCTGGGACTTCTCTAGAGTCTCTCCCATCCTATGGAACTCTTTACCCCAGGGGTGCCCACAATTTTTTATCTAGAGATCTACTTTTCAAATGATGCGCTCAATGAGATCTACCAATGAAAAAACACCTGCATTCAGGGGCGGGAGGGGGTGAGGCGGTGCACTGAAGTACGTGGCTGCTGTGCCATTGACTTCAATATAACCCCACGCCCCAGAACGCAGGGAGCCGGCCGGTTTGCGTTCCAATGCGTTCAAAAGGCCGAACATTCTGGAACTTTGTGGTGTGAAGCGGCCCTCTCTCTCCTGTCTGTCTCTTCTTACCTCCACTGCAGCAGCTTCCCAGCCGACGTCCTGTCCCCCCGCGGTGCTCGTGTGGCCGATAGGGAGAGGTGTCTTGCCCCTTCATCCCCACACAGCTCCCTCCTCATGTATCACTGGCCCCTCCCTTTTAGATTGTAAGCCCCCAGGGGCAGGGCCCTCCTTACCATCTTGAATTGTATTGTACTGTAAGGTCTTCCCTATGTTGTACAGCGCTGTGCAAACTGTTGGCGCTATATAAATCCTGTATAATACTAATGTTGCCCCCAGTAGGCACTCGTGCCACTTTGCTGCCCTTGTGTCTCCCGGCACTGTTACCAGTTGGTCTGGAGGTGCGGGAAATGCTTCATCCTCTCCGTCAGGAGTATTCTGGGTTGTATTATAATCAACATAAAATGTCTCTCCATCGTAATCATCTTCACAAGGAAATCAATCAAAAATTAGAATCCCTGTAACATAAATAGTTTATAATAAAACTAAACACGTCTCCCGTCCTCTTCCCTCCCGTGCCGGATTCCTCTCTGGTGTCCATGACGTTTAGGAAGTGTATGAGGAATCTCCAGCCTGCGCCGAGGAGAAGGGGAACCAAGGACTTAAAAGGAAACCAGGAGCCGGTATTGGACAACGTCAAGTGTCATCCCTGGGGGCCCGCCCTGCTCTCTGTCCCGCGGGCTCACATAAGCTGTTATAAAAGGTAGATGGGAGCAGGGCGGGATTACACAACCATCACCGAGGTGCAGCAAGCCAGAGCTACTGGAGGCCGAATTGTACAATTATCTTCAACTCCCCCCACTGTGTTACAGAGGACACCATCGCTGACCTCATCTTCTGGAAGTGTACAGTTGTACAAAAGGTCTGCAGACCCCTTGGCCATCACACCTATATGAGGTTGAGGACATCCCATACAACCCCCCCCCCCATGCCCATTAAAATAGAGTTGCACCTCCCACCCACATGACCATTGACCCACCATGGTCATTAATATAGAGTCCCCCCCATTATTATGGAGTTGTCCCACCATGTTTCATTACTATAGTGTGTCTATAATTTTGCCACTTTATAGATCATTGGTTCGACCTCATCTGGAGTACGCGGTCCAGTTCTGGTCACCAGTACTAAGAAAAGATGTCCTTGAGTTGGAAAAAGTCCAGCGAAGGGCAACCAAACTAATTAGGGGTATGGAGGACCAGAGCTACGAGACAAGGGGGAGGGGCTGGAGGACCAGAGCTACGAGACGAGGCTACTAAATTTAAACATGTTCACATTAGAGGTGAGGAGATTGAGGGGGGATATGATCTCCATGTACAAAATGTTTAATGGTGGCGGCAACATTAGCGATAAACTGTTTAAAATTAACTCCGTTACAAAAACTAGAGGCCACCACCTAAAATTGGTGGAAAAAAAATTCCAGCACAAGGGGCGAAGGGGGTTCTTCACAGTAAGATCAGTTAGGGTCTGGAACTCACTGCCACAGGCGGTGATTTCAGCAAATAATGTGGAATCGTTCAAGAAACTTTTGGACGATTTCTTAAGGGACCGCAATATACAGGGGTACAGGTAACATACAGGGGTACGGGTACTCCTAGAATGAGATCCTAATAGGTTGGACTTGATGGACTAATGTCTTTATTCAACCTCAAATACTATGTAACTATGTCTCCCCCCATTAGCCATTATTATGGAATTGCCTCCTCATGCCCTTGACCATTAATATGGAATTGCCTCCTCATGCCCTTGACCATTAATATGGAGTTTGGTCCACATTGCGGCTATGACATCCTCCACCTCTTCTGGGAAGGATTGCGGCAAGATTTTGGAGGGTGTCTGAGGGAATTTGCACACATCTGTGAGATCAGGTTGGATGAAAAGATCTGGCTCACCCTTGGCTTTCCAATTCATTCCAAAAGGTGTTCAATAGGGATGAGGGGGTCAGGGCTCTGTGCAGGACCCTCGAGCTCCTCCCCCAAACTGGTCACATGTCTTTATGGAGCTGGCTTTGTACACAGGGGACAGTCATGGTGGCACAGAAAAGCGTCTTCACCAAACTGTTACCACAATGCCGGAAGAGCCCAATTGTCTACAATGCCCTTGTATGGTGGAGTGTTAATAGACCCTTCACTGGAGGCACCTGAACTCCATCATAAGAGAGGGTACTCAAAGCTTTGGCCATAGATGTCGGTTCAATGGTCAGGCATCCATGAATGTTTGGTCACATAGTTACCTGGCTGCAATGCTGATCCCCTGGCTTCAAAAGTTTAAGGACAAAACCCACTTCATATATGCCTCTGATCTATGGGCATGGCATTCTGTTTATACATTGTCACAGGCAGGGCAGCCATCAGATATTTTAGGTCCCCTTACACAGCTTTAGACCAGGCCCCCCCCCCCGGACGCAGGGCTTAGCGACACGCTGGACACAGGACCCACCTGAGAGTGACCCTGCAGAGCCCACCATGGATGCTGCACAGCCCATCCGAGACTGTCTATGGTGGGCTCTGAAGGGATCTCAGGTGGGCTGGTCAGGGCTGTATCCCTCCCCTCCCTCCTTTCCTAGCTCCTCTTACCTGCACACATGGCCTCGTCTGCCGCTGGACCAGCCAGAAGTGACGTCACTTCCGGCCAGTCCGACATCAGATGAGCAGCGTCGCTGATGGGGCCCCAGCTTGTCTCAAAGCCACTGGAGCGGCAATGCTGGGGCCCTGCGCTCCTAGGGCCAGGCCTCCACCTCCTCGCCCTTCACCGTCGGCCAATAGTCATGTAAGGGACCCGGGCGGGCCCCCCAGGCCCCTTACATGAGTATCTGCCGTACCCCCGATGGCTGCCCTGGTCACAGGCAGGCTTCACTCCTAGTGATGAGCAGGGGGCTGGGTGTGAGGTTGGTGCAAAACGGACCTAAAACACGCACCAAACCACCCCCCCCAATCGGCTGTGGCATTCCACACCCTGCAGCTATACACCACAAAGGGGTGGGGAACCAAGTTGTCACCTCCCTAGGTATCTAAGCAATGGAGGGTGAGCATTCCAAATATTTCCCCAAGAGAAGAGGTGAAAATATAAATATTATATATAATGTGCAGGTGACATGGGCAGCCATGCACAAAACTTACCACCTCTGTAACCTGAGAAGGTTTCACCATTCACGGCTGAGCGTTGACCTGCTGAACAGATGATGCCGCACAAGAGCGAGGCGCAGACTGCTCCGAGCCGCTTTCACCTCCATTTTCCTGCATGCAAAAAAGCTCAAGCAATCCTACGTGAGGGAAGCGCTGCAACGTGAAGGCAACCAGCTTCCATCGACGTGAGTCAGTCTGTCCCCTGGTCTCAGGAAGGTGCCCATGTGTCATTGGCTCCTTGTGTTGGGGCGATAAGCTGGACATTGCACAAGCCACACTTTGTTACCCCGTTACTGCACGAGTGACAGGTTCACTTTAGAGCAGGTTTAAACAACCGTGACTCAATGGCCGACAACAGCTCACGCTGTCCATGTCTCTTTGGAGAACCACAGGAGGGAGAACGTCTAAAAACAGGGAACCCATAAAGCAAGAAACATAGGACGGGCCACTGCTGTAAAAGGCTTTTAGATCTGCACTAGATACATGCAAGGGGGGCCATTTTATTAAAGTATTTGTATCGGTCCATCCAGTCCTGAGACTTGCACAGCTCAGGCCTGCCAAACAATGACACGTTTTTAATCTGGTGCAACTTACAAGTCTTGTCCCTCCCACAGCCTGTGATTGGACAGTGAAAGGAGAAGCAGACAGATGAGCTCAAAGGCCACTGTTCTCTCCTCCAATCAGCACGTCCCTGCTAGCACATGAAGACTGCAGCACAACTTATCGGCTCCTTCTAGCAGTCTGAGCTTTGGTGTAAGCAGATCGTTCTAAAAAGGGAAATGAAGAGATCTTCAGTTTTAACAAAGTAGTAGCCGGTCCAACTCTGAATCTTTAGGAGACACCCAAAATTAGAATTGGCCATTTCCTGCCCAGTAGTTTAGGTTCCAGCACCCTCTGACCACCAAGAGGGGGAGGGGCCAAGAAATGTCTACTCTGATCATCATAAGGGGTGGGGCATTAATTTTTGCATTGACATTCACCTAGGAGACCCTTAACCCCCGATGTTCCCAGAATGGAAGGGGAGGGGCCACAAAATGAACACCTGACACTTGGCATCATAAGGAGGCAGGGTCATTTTTGCATGCAGACATTTACCTAGACCATTAACCCTGTTGTCCACACAATGGAAGGGGAGGAGCCACAAAATGAACACCTGACACTGGGCATCATAAGGGGTGGGGCATTAATTTTTGCATTGACATTCACCTAGGAGACCCTTAACCCAACCCCATTTCCCCCAATAGAAGTCTCCTCAACCCAACCCCATAATAGAAGACAAATACTGGTTTTGTTTTTATTTGGCTTTATTAGTTTCGATTGCAATACATGACAGCCATTTACTCTATCCCAGGTCTTCTGTTTCAAGGCTTATTATTATTATTATTTTTCCCTAAAGTGCAAGCATGGATTCAGAATTAGCACAAGCTTCCAGTCATGGCATGGGTAGAGAAATGAGTGCAGTAGTCCACAATATCCCTCCCGTGATTTACCACACGAGGCGGCCAGGACGAAAGATGGCAACCAACGTGGAAAAGCAGGGCGACTACACCCCGCAAAAAATCCAATTTACTGCAAATTTCATGTCTTTGGCATTCTGTGTGGGGGCGAGTTACCATCGGGTGTGGAGATCGATTCTTAGCCGTACATCGCAGGAGGAAGACCCTAATGCAAAACCTCTACAAAAAAAAAAACAATCGCCGTTACATTTTGAAGCCATTTTGGTTTTTAAGAGTATACGCATCCGGAAAGCGGTTTCTATGCCCGACTGGTTAAAAGGGCATTTTTTTTCCCCAGGATGCAAAGCTGCAGTTTACAGCTTATGACGGTGAAACGGGCACGTGCGAACGTCAACCCATGCTCTCCCGAAAACAGGAGCCATCAGGATTTCTTATTGAAACCACTTTTGTAGTCGGGTACTTCCAAACTGCACTGAACGGTTAGCCTGAAACATGGGATATCCGCATACACATTAGATCCATATAAAAATATCTGTGAAACTAGTCGTCACGCATCCAACCGTTTCATTGAGTATATAATTTCACCTAGTCTAGCGGGTTCAATCAGAAGAATACGGCTTCCCCCGTCACAAGAAAAATAACAGGTCATCACCCGGCTGCAGAACCTTCCTCAGCAACAACGGCTTCCACATCTGCAACGATCCACCAAACCGGCTTTGCGTCTACCCCGTGACAAAAATCAACCCCCCGAAAAAGTAATCACAACCCGCCCGCTTAAGCCTCGTCCCACAAAACGGGAAACGCCAACTGAAAACAATAATAAGTCCCATGGGTCGCCCTTCTCCCTGCCCTGCCACAAAGCATGAGCTGAAGATTGATTAAGAGACCCAACCCTTGCGAGTCAAATCTTCGAAAGAAGCGATACAGCTTGTGAAATGTAAAGAAAAAACACTGGACTAGGCGTCAACAGCAGGCCAATACCTAGGAGATCACCAAAAAAAAAATCCCTCAGTTATCAAAACGCAAAGATTACAGCTAAAAATGTGCCTTTTATTAGGTCTGTACACTTTGTGCATGCAAAAACAATGCTCTCCATATGGGGGCCGGGAAGGGTCACACATTAAGACTTAGCAAACCCTAAACTGATGCGAAGAAATGAGACATGAAATGATAACAGGCAGCAAAAACCACCACCGCGGAACGGCGATCCGTGCATGGCAAGACCGCTCGCCCCGACAGCAAACAAACGTTAAACCAATCGCAACAGCCTGTACAAAGCTCACAACGGATCACTACTAAAAGATGGGAATTCTCTACAGGAGGAGACGTTCAGGTCGCATCGGAGGATTGCAAAAAAAACTAGCTTAACAATGGAAAAGAAAGTGGTCTGTACACGGATGGATGGATGAATAAATTAAAGTGTCAAAAAAAATGTAAATGGTCTTTTTATTATTGGAAACAAAGAAAACAAAAAACTAAACGCAGCATTTACAACTTGGAATGGACATATTGAAGTTTTTGTCTTGAACAGCCTTTGTGTCGATGGTTTGTGCTGCAAGTTCCTATATTGGACATAGGAAATCTTTTTTTTTGTCGGCTCCAAGTCTGGTACAGACGTCTCTTTTTTTTTTAAAGTTTACGATAGTCCAAAAGATGCTCCCCGAATGGCGAAACGATTCTTTTTTTTTTATTAATAAAACATGAATGGTAAAATAGCC